TTTCAATAACCTCTGTGTCACTTTCTTAACTATCGGAAGCGAATTATAATGACGAGGAATTTGATTTAAATCATATCAAACACGGAGTACATTGAGATGAAATACTACATTTAGTAAGGAATTATAAGCCAAATAAAAACATCTGCCCTGAAGATAAGGATAGTGCTGACAGATCAACTTCCAATTCATTGAGCGCCGCGGTGCCCCCCCCCTCCCCCGCCGCAGAGCAGCGCGAAATTGATAAACAGATTTCGGAATGGTTAGAGAAACAAAGGATATTATTTTATCCATTTTTTGCAGCAATTTCACTTTTTTTTTTTGATGGACATCAAAACATGCTTTCACTTTGTAGATCCTTTCTATTTGACATAATCAAAAGTTCAAGCTTACTTTTATAAAATTACTCTAAAAGTCTGCAAAAAATAATAAGCCGGATCCAATTCAAAGATTAAGGAACAACGCAATCTGCAACATTAACTGAAATAGATAATTTTAGCTTATACCGTCCGTTATACATTAAAAGCGCATGCGTAAACATATTATGCGCACACGCACAGGCATGTGAGCAGCCGTAAAGGTCTTACGAACATGCGTCAATGTGACGCATGCATAGAAAGTTTGTAGCTTTGAGGTCCGGATTATAAATCATTCCGGATTATGGGTGTCCAAATTAACGACTTTTGACTGTATTTAATAACTCGGGCATCTGAAATGTATCACAATATTTTCAAAGAAGAAGAATGAAGCATATTAAACTTTTTACATGAAATATATCGCATACTGCATCTTACAGAATAATGGGTTTTTGGCACATAATTTTAAGAAAAAGAAATGGAACACCTTATTTCAGGAATGAAAAGTTTTTCTTTAAGCTGGGAATAAACCAAAGATGAAATTAATAAATGAATATTACAACAAAATAATAAAGCATAGTTGCTTTGAATATAAAACAAGTCATCTATGAAAGCTTCTGGAGAAAATTTACCAATGTGGTTAGAGTAGAGAGAAGGTTACCTCTTGTATTATCGTAAAGTTGTTTCATTTATGGTAGCCTGATTAGTTGAATGTTTCGGAAACCCTATTATGACGTAATCGATTGCATGATTGCAGTGGATGTGTGTTGGTTAGGAAGTATATTACTTGTTTTGTGGTTTAGACCAATGGCTAAATGTGGTAATTAAAATGGCTAAATATGGTAAGATTAACTTGAAGTTTCTGTACGTACGGTTTAGAAAGAAAGGGGAAAAGACTTACTTGATGGGTGTGTAAATGAAGGTTTACTTAGTAGCCATTATTAGGTGTCCTGTTTGCAGGAAGGAAATGCATATGGTCAAATGTAGGAAATGCATACAGTTGAATGTTGCTACAGAGGATATTTTTTACTCTTATTTTGTGAATTTATATGGCGATGCCAGTATACAGATTCTAGTTCAGATAATTTTAGAAAGTTTTTGGATGCTGTTAATTGATTTTGTTTAACTGAAGACATGTTAATTCGTAAATAAGGTAAGTGGATATTTCCTTTGTGTAGTGTAAAGATTAATTTCCTTTTTTATGTTATTTCATTGTTTCATAGTTAATGTTAAACGTGAGAAAGAGAGATACATGTTTTCAATTATTCCAAAATGTGTTACAACTGAATCTTGCTTAGCTGCAGTAACTCTCACTAAATTTAACAAGTGGTTATCACAGTTTACAAATAACGCTTCATTATTTTTTCCCATAATTCTTTGTTGAATGCCAGATATGTAACCTGACATCATGACAGTAATCTACAGTTTGTTAATGAAATCTCATCAGAATTTAATTTTCCTAAAATTGTATTTTGAACTGATACTGCATCTTTAGCATGCATTTTAAAAAATCCCCAAAAAGATTCTTAGACAAACGTTTCTGCTGGTAAAATCAATATCTACATAACTAAAGACTTGCGAAATTTGTTCTTGATGAGTGATATCAGGAGCCAAATCGGCTAATCTTTGGAATATGGTAACAGGTAGTTTGGCGACATTTTGGTAAGGTTTTGGACTCTTTCTCCGTATTCCGCACCTAATCTCCGTCATGATTAAGCACTTTTGTTCCATAAAAGTTCTAGCATAAGCATAACTCGGCTAGCAGATTGTTGGAAAAAATGTTGAGTAAAAAAAAAACATGCCTTTACTTCGTAAAAACAAAATGGCGTCAAAAAAAAAAAAAACAAAAAAAAAAAAAAAAAAAAAAAACAAAAAAAAAAAAAAAAAAAAAAAAAAAAAAAAAAAAACTAGCAGTTTTTTTTTTTTTTTTGCTGTAGCAGGGTTGGTCGCCAAAGCTTCGCCAAGTTACCATAATCCAAAGATTCTCCACCAAATCAAATAAAAGTCCATAATATTTATTTTCTTTGATGTCACTAGTTGATTAACGTAGTTTTAAGACCAAATTAATAATAGTTCAAGGTCTTATAATAAAAGACCATATTGCATTGTTTATTATAGTTTCAAAATAACAAACATGAGCTGTCCGTGCATTTCGCTAAAAAAAATAAAAATATTTCATGATTTTGGTTTTAGAAAAATAAACCGTTCAGAAAGGAAGAATGTTCTGCCTACGGAGATGCTTGATAGATTTACTGCGCACATTATTTATAACAGTTTATCAGCAAAATCTAGAAAGGAAATAATTATATAAAAATCATTAGTTTAAAATTTATTTCCCAGAAATTGATCAAAATAAAAACTGAAATCTTTTGGAAAAACTTGTTTGTCTTGGAAAGTATTTGGCATCCCTCTGCGGCAGCACCCAGGGCATGACAGACCCTCCTCCGCCCCCTCACTGTGTGGCACCCCTTACACAAACCCCACATGTATTCAAATACGTGATTTTGTAGATGCTTCCTGTTTTAACACTGTGCAATGAACTTAACAATCCAGTCATACGCACAGCCAACTGAAGTAAGTAACAGGTGGATCTCATCACAGCAAAAATACAATGCTATTTACATATTAATAACTGGAAGATGAAATTCAATATTAGTCTAAATGCCCACTGGATTATTTTACTCAAATTAGATGTCATAATTCTTCAAAGTAATAAAAAAAATTGAAACCCTATCGGATTGATTAGATATCTTTTTGAGAAGGTCAATTTACTAAACTTTATAATATATTGCATATTTAGACACTGAAAATTAAATAGACAATTTAATTACACAGACTACACGGGAAAAGCTACATAATCTATATAACATAAAAATTACAAGATTTTTTTCTAGTCTTGTCCTTGGTCAGCAAAATAATTAACCATTAAAAGAAAAAAATTAAGAATGCCGAGATGGAGAATCATCACAACACTCGGAATGAGCCGCTGACAAAGCAGCACAATTTCAAGATAGGCGCTACACAAAACCAAAATAAGAAGTCAAAAAATTGCACAAACTCGGTGTCCATGTACACAACGATCTATTTTCACAAAATAAATAAATAAATGAAATAAGAGAATTGAACAAACTAGGCATTGTGAACTGCCTTATTTTTGTCCATGTACACATCGAAATATTTTCACTTAAAAAAAATCAGGAAGCTAAAGCTATTATGGTAACCAGATATGGAATTTCATCACCAAAATTGAACAAAATTTGTCGCTAATTGAAGAAGCACCCAATTCTAGGGTAGAGCCGAAAAATCATTCTCCTTAACAGTTACTTGGCACTTAATAAAATTAGACAAAAAAAAGAGTATCCCTCTTTTTTTTTTTTTTTTTTTTCCCTCCTTAGAAAGTACCCATATTTAGTTAACGTAATTAAATTTTTGACAGAAACAATTTATATCCAGAGATATAGTTTTCTTATTATATTATGCAAGAAGACAGTTCTAACATTCTAGAGATATTCATTACTTGACATATTTTATATATAATGCGATATATGGGTTTTCATCCGCAGAGAACCCGTTGGCGTTTCGGGAAAGAACCTTTTGGCACTGTTGCAGTTTTACTCGCCAAGCTTTCAAGTTAGCAGACAATGGTAGTAAAAATTCACAGATAATAAGTATGTAGATATAAAACTAACAGGTTAAACGTGATATACGAAAATAAATTTCTATTAAATTCAAGTTAGCACAGAAACAATGTATTAAACTAAACGGGAAGTAAAAATTCATTTAAAAAATAACAATTAGTATTCTTATACTTACGTTTACAATATACTTATATGTATTTTCTCTAATTCATATAGAATACTAATATTTCTATTACAAATGTCTTTTTTCACTATTAAGTACTTTGCCTGTTGATTGATGTATTTCGGTAAGAGCCATGCCCATGTAATAAATTAATGAATGCATGACCTTTAATATATCCATTTTACATAGTTTTAAGTATTTTTTTTTTTTTTTCCCAAGTTACTTGCATACAATTACTTGCGTTTAAAGCATTTTTGCCTACCTTGAAAATTATAAACACCTTTTCTTCAGTACAATTAATAGATAAAATTATTTGTTTAATAAGTCCCTATAAAAAGTAAAATATCAAGTCAATATTAACTACAATACAAAATTAAAATTTTGATGAAAAGTATTAAATGTGAACTTATTTCTTTTAATAAAAACACATTTAATTTTAAAAAGGAAAGCTAGTCATGAAATAAGTTTCTACTACGAAAAAAAAGCTTTTCCTATGGAAAAATAAAAAAGGTGGATGACTAACAGTTTACTACAATAAACCTACTTTACCAATGTGCTCATTTTGCCAGGTGAATGATATTTTGGAAATGCTGTAAGCTTCATAGAAAATTTTAAGAGTTAATAGGATTTAAAAAAAAAAAAAAAAAAAAAAAAAAAAAACGGAATACTATGATTTCAATCATGACAAATAGGCAAAGAATAAAAGTTCTTGAGGATGTTTGAGGGGAACTGCTGCAATCTTGATGTATTTGCATTCTTAAACACAGAAAAGAATTTTTCACCTTAAAAGCTGAACGGGGAAAAATTTTTAATTAATTGAAGAGTAATAATAAAAATGATACTCACGTAAGATTTCTAAATACATTAGAAAACTTTTTCGCTCTTCAGAGTAAAATGCAGCATTAAATCTATCAAAATTACAAGCTATGGACTTTAAACACAGAGACTGCAAATTTTCATTTAACTCAGGTTCCATCTTTCTTCAATAATAATAAAATAAAAACTATAATAACTGAGTCTTAACACTCAACGAAAACGATTCAGCAGCAGTGATAACAAACTACATGTACGCATACACGTCTCAAAAGCATTACGCTCAATGCAGGTTTTCCAGAGTCGTTCGACTAAGAACTTCTAACTTTTGGTTCCGTATTTTTAAATTTCTGCTCTAGGATTGGTCCACATGCTTGAGACGTGCCTTAAGAGCCCAGACAGACAGACAATAGACGTAATCTTGAATAGCGGTTCTCAATCGGGATGGGGAAATCCTATTCCGTTGTTATGTCGCGATTAGCTTGTAGGATTAACAAGGTGTATTCCGGTTCATTTGAAGCAAAATTAACCTGAAAGTAAAATAATTACATAATCTAAAAATAATAGTCATAAAGTTTGGTGTATGCTATTCTATAGTGGAAAAGATTTGATATCTGTAATACTTTTTATACTATTACTCATACTAGATCATCATAACTATTTTCTGAACTGGAAATTTTTTATGCTAACTATCCTGAACCACTGTAAACAGTTCTAAATAGTTTAACTGGAAATGACTCACACACAGAAATTTCAACATTACTAGAATATGAAATTCAAAGTTCATCATTAACGTTAAAATAATTAACTTTTATTTTTATATGTGCCATTCTATAAATTTTCATTTAAATCATTGCTAACATAAACTAAAACACAAATTAAATTTCTGCAGGTAAAATATGCCTGAAAGCATATTTGTGTATGTATGTGTATTCATTCTGAGGTAGGACAGCGTTCGAGATAGACGTCTTATCGCTTCGCTCTCCGTTTCCTTGCGTTGCTACCACCCCCGCTACTGTACCGAGTTCATCGACCTCGCCTCAAGGGCTCTGGGTAGAGCTACTAGTACCCTTTACAGAAGTATGAAAGGATGAGATATTTTATTTCATGGGATCAAAGGATCCAAATGAGAGTTTGCTTTTGACGAAAGAATGGATACACAAATGTCAAAGAGAAGATTCTATTAATGTGAAGAGCGGAAAAATCTGCAGCGAACATTTTCTATGATTTTTTATATGAACATTTTCTATGAACATTTTCTAATTTATGAAGATGATATGAAAAATCGCTTGTTTGGATAGCCACAAAAAGAAACTGTTGAAATGGAATGCTGTGCCGAAAGTAAATTATGATGACAATAATAAATCGAAATTGATGATGACAATAATAAATCGAAATTGATGATGACAATAATAAATCGAAATTGATGATGACAATAATAAATCAAATTTTAATGATTTTGAAATAAAACTCACAAATGAAAATGTAGATCATCCTGAATGTTTAAGGATAAACAAGAATGCATTGATAATTTGAATAACAAAATAATATCCTTAGAAAATTGTATTAAAGTATTGAAAAATAGAGAAAGAAAAATTTTAGAATGTTTGTTCAGCGACAAAGAGGGTGGACGACATCTAGACAGAAATTGGTATCAGAAATTAAAATCTCAAATAGCGAAATTTCGGGGGGGGGGGAACACAATCGGAGAATTTGAAAAAATGTCTAAAGCCTATTTTTATTATAAAGACGCAGATTAATGCATTACTGAAAAAGAAGAAAAAAAATCAGGTGGACTAGTGAAAATATTTCACGTTGCATCGTCATAAGAGCTCTGTCATCTTAAAGCTATGATTTTTGGAAAGAAAAAAAAAATTAAGAAAAAAAATTGGAATATCTTTACCTAGTATTATCAAATTAAAGAAATGGTGTTTATTTTATTTTTTAGTGTTTTCTAAATTTTAGTGTAGTAGTCCAAGAATTCAAAGTAATGTTCTTACTCTAAAGAAGGAAAGAGGCGGATATTTGTATTCTGTAGAAAAAATATGCGCTCTCAGTTTCGACGAAATGCATATAGATTGAAAACTCTGCTATGACTCTAAACTGGACTAAGTTGGTTCTTTTCAAAATGTGCAGTTTGTTTTAATCAAGAGTCTCATTTCACGCTCTGCCTCAAATTACTGAGAAACCGCGTTTTAGATAGAGGATTTGTTTTAGAAGATGTAACTGTTTTAAATTTTGATATTATTAAAAGGGTTTTAAATAGAGATTGTGAAGAAATCAAATTGTGTCACAAACTAAAACCGAATTATTTAATGGTCAAGGGAAACGAGAGACAAAAGTCGCTCCAGAGAAAACATTATTTTCAAAAAAAAAAGTACCGCAAAAGGTATACTCTACCGCACAGGAAATCAGAAAGCATCTGACTTCTATGAGTTAATCGATAATGTCTTCGGTATTATTATATGAATAGTACCAACAAGAATAACAAGTATTTAAACAAACTAATTTTTGTTAAGTACTTGTTAAAGTTATTCTTATTGTATCCTTTGTAAACTAATTATTGATTAGATTTTGTGCTAGATAGATTAGCATTCTAGATAAAATATAATAGTATAAAACATCAAAGTAATTGGCATAAAAGACCTGCTTCCTTTACTCACACTTTTGAAAAATTAAATAACTGTTTTAGGTACTCTGAATAAAGCTATTTTGTCAAAATTAAGGTAACAATTTTATATAACATTTTATTTAATTGTAATATAGATATAAGTATAAAAATTACAAAATTATTTAAAAAATATCTATTATATTGAATCGGAAGAGAATTATAACAATGTAAAATTTACAATTAGGCAAAAAATCAAACGTAGGTTAGCAGAAAATGTTGCCATATATGTGATATATGTTTAAAATCTATGTCAATGTAAAGTTGTTTTTTTTGAGTAAATTTTAAATAGCTGCTATTATAGTTATCTTAGAAGCAGTATAAAAATTCTCTCAGTTAGCATGCAAATAAAGAAATGATTAGAAATAAACGTGCATTAAATAATAATAATTTAAAAAAAAAACCACCTGCAAATTTAAAAAAAAAAAAAAAAACACGGAACTTTATGTTAAAAGAGTAGCACATTTTATCTATTATTTTAAAATTGAGTAAGCATTATTAAATTTTTTAATGGTTCAGTCTAAAATGCATAAAGCAGTAACATTGCTTCTTCCAAATTCTAGCTATCTTTCACACACAGCTCATTTTAAACGCTGGTTCAAAAACGCTAATTTCCAAGCTGTGAATTATATTGGCGCGCTCAGTGTCATCATGGCTACTTGTCATCATCACTTCTCACTTTCTGCTTCAGGGGGAAAAGCTCTATGAGCTAGCCCTTCTCTTCTAAGTCCTGACTGACTCTTAGTGCTGTAGAAGTAACGAGAAATTGTGTACCCGTATGTATTCGTTACTCGGTGAACCAGTACTCGTTACTATCGTATCGTTACTCGTTACTTTCGGTAAAATCGATCGGTTATCCGTATCCTGAGCCTATTTTATCGGTCTACGGCCCTAAAAAGGGCCTTGAAACGTCGCATTGCATTGAATCACGTGAGCTATTCTACCCCGCGGGAACTGGGTAGTGCTGCGATAGGGAGTTTTGCGTCGCATTTTTGGGTAGAAATAATTCACTTTATTTTGGCTATTATTTTTTGGTGCACTGGATTCATTATTAATTTTTCTATTGCTGTCAGGGCTTAGTTTCTAAAGTCAGAAGGGCCTACGGAAGGCCGTCAGGAAAACAGGAAAAAAAAAATAAAGAAAGAAAGGAAATAAATATTACAATAATAACATTAATTAGTAATTAAAATAACAAAAAATTACTTATTAAAAAAACTTAATAATTAAAATAATAAAAAAATAGTGATTAAAATAATGAATAATTAAAGTAACATAATAATTAGCAACTGAAATATAAAATACTTATAAGTACAATTTAATAAAAATGTAAAAACAAATAAAAATTAAAATAATTTTTAAATTTATGATGACTAATTAAATAATAAAGTAAAATACCAGATCTTGTCTTATTGGCTTAGTATCGTTTCGTCCTTTCTCATCATTTCATCCCCCAGCTCGAAAAAAAAGTGTTATTTCGTTCGCTGCCTTCCCCCACCAATTCCCTCTTTCCCGTTTCATCCGCTGTTTGAAAAATAGGTGTTTACTTTACGATAAGGCGAACGTCTGTTTACTTCAATTAAAATGGTTTTTAGAAGAGATGACTGTTTCTACTTCGACTTTTGACTTTTTGATTTTTTAATATTATTTAATATTTTATGCAGACAAATTATGTTGAGCAGAATAATGAATTTCAGACGTGTTCAAAAGGGTGTGTATCTGAATATAATAACATTTTTGTTGTATAGTATCCATTTTTTTAATTTCACACATTTCTAAAGCAACAGAAGTACGTTATCACTATTTTGGCACACACATCAAAAACATGTATAATTAAGATTAATGTTACATTCCTTATTAAAAGTAATGGGTCCTCATTAAATGCAACCATTCATGCTTTTAGAGGATTTTACATGTGGTGGTCTTAAAAAGATGATGTTCACTACCAATGTTTGTTTATGTTCCCAAAAATAGAGATCTCTTAAAAGGTGACCTCTTAGAGATGTCGTAAATATAGATGATTTGCTATAATTATTTTCCGATAGATAATGGAATTAATGTAATTTAATGTCAATAACTCGAGGAAGCAAGTTTAAATACGGTGCAACAAAAATACAGAAGTATTTTAAATGACGAAAATATTCATATTTTGTCAATGTCAAATTTAAAAAAGAATTAATTTTGGACAAATTATGAAATCTAACTTTTAATGTCGTCTTCTGGTTTCTCTATTTATATCTGGCAAAGTTTTATACTTGTTATGAAAAAATAAAAATACAAGAAGTTTGAGTCCCGTAGGACAAAGATTGACCGGGAAATTTAGTTTCAAAATTTGCAATGTTTGATGCCATTTGCAACTTGCCTTGCCTTCGGGTATCGCTTAATTGAGTTAGAATAATTCGAGGAAATAAGTTTAAATGAAGTGCAGAAAAAATAAGCATAATTTAAATAGTCATAGAAGGAAGTCATGCGGAATCCATATCAAATTTTCACTTTTTCATAATGACCATAAAACTTTCCCAAATACAAATACAGAAACTGGGAGACCGCATTAAAGATTAGCTTGCGTTATTTGTCCGTTATTCGTTATTTTGTTTGCTGCTTCCCCCATTCCCTTCATCAGAACCGCTAATGACGAAAGGTGAAAATTTCCCCGATTCATCCCCTCTCCAAAAAACTCCTTGTTGAGACTGTTATTTGTTGAGACAAGGAATGCTATATTATAAATGTCAACTTGCTTTTTACACTTAACAATAAAAATCGATAAAAACATTCGCAAATGTATAGGTTAAGTACGAATAAGAAAGACTTAAAAAGAAATTTAGAAATCTATAAAAGGTAAGGAAAGTTTTATGTTACTTTATTACAGATAATAGTGAAGCACTAAATATTTCAATCAGTGTTATTTCATAATGCTATGAGTATACCTTTATTCATTTAAGAAATGGCCCACCAGCGGTCGAGCGGTAAAATCGCTGAACGCTGGTAGTTCCGACCTGAGTTCGATCTCAGGCAAACGAGTTGGCTTCATAACCGTTTCGTGGTTTTTTTTTTTCCCGTACCAGCTTACAAGCCAGCTTACCACGTACCATACGAGCCAGCTTTCCTAAGAAAGTGCTCTACGAAGGCATTTTTTTTTCCTTTTAGGCACATAGCCCCAGTGTGTTTTGTCATAATCAACTAAACCAAATCATTTAAGAAATATATCAGTTGATCACTGCTCAGTGTACATCTGCTGTTTGCTTATAAAAAACACTTTGTAAAGACATTTCCACTATTTTGCTAATAATTCTGGAAGGCTCATAGAATCCGAAATTATGTTACACTAACATCCGAAATTATGTTACACTAGCTAACAGAGAACTTAACTTAAGTCTGCTTAATAAGACAACAAAAATCTGCTTGACTTGCTTTCGTGTCTTTGGGAAACGTAAGTATATGCAGAAATAAATATTAAAATCTATCACGTATATTTGTAAGGATGTAAAGCATACTGTTTTGGTTCACGATAATGATAAATATGCATCATGTTACGACAGTTTTAAAAGATCACAAATAACTATACATATGCTAGACTTCTAACAAAATTTCTGTTACAATATGAATATGCATTTATTATTATATGAGTCGTAAAACGGCCCACCAGCGGCCGAGCGGTAAAGTCGCTGAACACTGGTAGTTCGGTCCGAGGTTCGAATCCCGCGAACGGTCCGGCTACATGGGTATTTTTCGTGGTTTTCCCCATGTGTAACGTGTATACGAGCCAGTTTCCCTTAGAAAGTCCTCCACGAAGGCATCCCCCCTTAGGCAGATAGCCATAGTGTGCCTTGCCATAATTAAATACACCCATACACACATGAGTCGTAAAATTCAGTATTCGTCATTTTTAGATTCTAGGTATATGAAATTTTTTTTTTAAATTTTCGTTTTGTTTTTAAAAATTAATTCACTTTATAGCTTTTCTTCAATTTATTATAAAGGAATAGGAGTTTAAATTTTGATTTATATATATAATATGATATAAATTCATCATTCATTAATAATATTTTATGTATAACAAAAAAATTATCATTAATGTTCCAAATTTTAATTTTTTTAATGATTTGTCTTACATTTGTTGTATATTTGTTTGAATGCATAGCTAAATATTTCAATTATACACAATAAAGGTTATGCAGAAAACAATTCAGCTGGCATGATAGCTAATTGCGAAAGAAAAATTAGAGTCTTATTGCTCTTAACTCTTAGTACAAGCAGCCATTTTTAAATTGACGTTAAAATAAATTTATTCTATGGTCTATTAGAAAATAACTATACTGAATCATTTATTGACGACTTCTAAGAGGTCGCTTTCTGAAAGAAAGAAACCTGTATTTTTGAGAACATAAAACATACGTTGATATTGAACATCACTTTTTTAAGATGCCAGAGCAAATGCACAGAGCTCCAAAAAATCCTCTAAAAGCATAGACGGTCACGTTTTAAAAGGCTGACTACTTTTAATAAAGCCTGTATATTAATGTTCATTATACATTTCTCACATTTTTTACTTTCTTTCAAAACAGCGATGCTGTGGTTCAATTGCTTTAGAACTATGTGAAACTAATAAAATGGGCCCTATGTTATAAAAACCTAATTATATTTCAGATACACACCTTTTTGAACATGTTTGAAATCTATTATTCTAATCAGAATACTTTGTCTACAGAAAACATTGAATCAATATTAGAAATCAAAAGCTAAGTGAGATTAAAGTAGGAAGAGTCATATCGTCTAACCCATTTTAAATTGAAGTAAACAGGTGCTTACTTTATCGTAAAGTGAACACCCGTTTTTCAAACAGCGAATGAAAAAAAAAAAAAAAAGAGCCCACCAGAGCTCGAGCGGTAAAGTCGCTGAGCACTAATAGTTCGGTCCGGGGTTCAGTTCCCGGCTAACGGCTAGCTGCACGGGCGTTTTCATTGTTATTCCCGTGTGTAACTTGCATATGAGTCAGTTCCCTTTAAAAAATCCTACACGAAGGCCTCCCTCCCCGTAGGCAATAGCCTAGTGTGCTTTGCTGTAACCGAATAAACCGAAACTGGAAAAAAAAAAAAAAAAAAAAAAAAAAAAGGGGGAATTGGTGGTGGAAGGCAGCTACGAAACGTCGTTTTAGAAGAATGGGCTACATAACCAAATTTCTATCTATACTCTGGTAAACAGTACATTATTTGCTCATCAAAAGCCTAAATTTAGCTAATGCTCGGCTTAGTTCTTAAATTGCAATTTTAGCTACAGCCCCCAAACAAGACGATGTCTGGTATTTTATTTCATTACTTAGTTATTCATCATTAATTTAAGAATTAATTAAATTTTCATTTGTCTTTAAATTTTTATTGAATTATAATAATAATCATTTAAATATTCTAGTTGCTAATTATTTTATTATTGTAATAGTTATTTTATTTTTTTTATTTATTATTTATTATTTATTCATCTTTCCTGATGGCCTTCCATAGAGCTCCAGCACTTCTAATTTTAAAAAATTAAGTCCTGACTACAACCAATGATTGCAAAAAAAAAAAGTCAAGTAACTTATTTAGTGATAATTAAATAAAATAAAAGCCAAGGCTTTTATTTTCGCCTTACTTGGCTTTTATTTTATATTTATATATATATGTGTGTGTACTTTACATTTAATTTTAATTATAAGGACATATATATATGTACTTTACATTTAATTATAATTTATTTGATATATATATACATATTTACGTTTTGGTAGTATTACCGATTGCAATAAAAAAGGGAGGTGCACATCTAGATGTTATAACGGACCCATATACAAAATTTCAACGTTCTATAACTAACCGTTTTTGAGTTATGCAAAATGCATACATACGTACTTACACATCACGAAAAAAATCCCTTTCAAGTATCAACTTAGGGTCATAATCATTAGTCATAAGTATCAGTATGGGATTACATTTAACAATAAGTTTTTTGGAAAAAAAAAAAAAAGTGAGAGAGAGAGAGTCTTTCATTGTGTTCGTACGTACAGGCGTCAGCCCAAAAAATAATTCACATGGATTCCGTAATCGTCAAAAACGGATATTTCCGTTAAAATATGATACCCAAAAGTTTTCTCGATTACAATAATTACTGCCATTTTATTTGATACAAGGAAGTAAAGAACCTATATTAACCTACATATTCTTATATAAACAATACCTAAATACAGTATATAAATATTTCAAATCAATAAAATCTGACTATGGCACGCTCAAGGAAAAAAAAAAAAAAAAAAAAAAAAAAAAAAAAAAAAAAAAAAAAAAAAAAAAAAAAAAAAAAAAAAAAAAAAAAAAAAAAAAAAAAAAAAGATGAATCATCTAAATTTTCAAATTACAAACATAAATAGCAATAGTAAAAGCAAATACAAAATAACGCTTCACGCTATCAAAATTGCTCATTTTCTTAAATATCAACAAGTAAATAGTATTTCAACTAAAGCACATAATGTAAACAAGAGTTTGCCCGATGCCCAAAAAAATTCAAAATTATCTATGAAAAATATGAGCGCATTGTGACGTAACCGTATCATTCGTATTCGAACAGCAACCGCATGATTCGTATTCGCATAGAAACCGCATCATTCGTGCTCGAACAAACCGCATCGTACGACAGATGCGAGTAACGAAGAGATGCGAGTAACGAAATGAATTTGTGAGTACCGAATCGGTACTTCGAGTCAACCGATGTACCCGTTACTCAATAACGAATACATGCGGTTTGCTCCAGCTCTACTGACTCTGCGGTTTTACCACCCGCGGCTTCATCTTATAACGACACTGAACTTGACACCCCTCTTTTTTCTCCGCCGTTAGTGCGGACCTCACTCTCTTTCATCCGCCTCCAACACTCCTTTCACCCTTCTCTTTCTCCCCTGTCCCGATCTTTATCAGAAGTCGAGTAAAAGATGTTTCTACATCTTGACACTCGAGAATAAAATACGATCTGTGTGTGTATCTGTGTCATTATACTCCGTGGTGTTAAGATTCTTTGTTCTGACTTTTACTTTCGCCTTTTTGCTTTACTGATGTTCTTCACGTGATACGTGAGTAAAAGGAGGCGCTGCTTTCTGAAACTCAAATTTACTATTTGTAGTGAAGTGAAGTGAGAGCAGACTTAAAAAATTTGAACTTTGTTGTACATAAAACCGGTGGAAAAGATAATATCTGAAACTGTTATTTATATGTTTACGTCTTTAATTTTCGTGAAACATTTGCTTTATATGATATTAGCTTATAAGGGTTGAATGATATCTGCTGTAATGGGGGTTATTTAAAAGTAAACCCTGGAACGTCCGCTATTTAATCACCATGATTTATTTTCTTACGAATTTTTGTTGAAGTAATTTTTTCGCTTGTAAAATGATGAATATGATAAGTATAACTGCTGAAGCTCTAGGATGGGCATTCGAGTATACGTTATCATTATTACAAAAATTCTTACATGTAAATTATTGCATCGTTGAATTTGTGATTAAAATTTGTCATAGCCTAATGCAAGTTGCTTCCGAGGTACTACTATGCATATGGGATGTACTATATTGTTACTACTGTGATTTTAGAGCATTTTCTTCGGAATTTACTGCTGGTGTATACTTTATAGCAAAACTGATATTTGATATTTTATCAAGTTCTGTGTCTCATATATATACTTTTGTAGGCTATTTAATGGAAATACTGAGTTTGATACAGTTAAAAATATTGACAGCTACAAACTTTATTGTATATTATACATCACAGATCACTGAAAACCTGGTGTACTGCATTCAGTTACTGTTTGCTGCTACATTGTTACTTCTTCAACTGGGACCTAATTTATTAATGCTTTTTTATGAAGGACTTTTATTATGTTGTAAATCCATGTTGACAGGGTTAAAATATGCTGCTTGTTCAGTATTTCACCATTTATGTGTATTTCAACTTCAGTGGTTCAATGCAGTATTTAGTATTCCTGCCCAGGCCTATGTTGGCCTTTTCATGCTTTCAGTATTATTTTATTTCTACAAATCGATTAAACCTTTCTTACAGTCATATTTTATTTTACTCACAGCATTTAGTATGCATCTGTTTCAGAAAATGTACTACTGCATTTTTATAATTTTTACTTATTTCTCTAGAATTGCATTGAAAATAAAAGCAATGTATGGAATATTTATTCCATGGAGAAATGTTCAAGATTCTGAAATATTTCAACAACCTTCCACTAGTCATACATTAAACTACCAGCCAAAAAGAATAAGTGCATTTTATAAATATATAAGCAGGAAGAACTTTAAATTAAAAATACCTTTTTATAAAATAGAAGATGATTACATGGATCAACAGTTAGAGTATTTAAAAAGAGAATTGTCTGCGGAAAAGGAAAAGCATCTCTGTGTAGTTTGCCATGATAGTGAAAAAAATGTCATTTTATTTCCTTGCAGACATATGTGTATGTGCGAGAGCTGTACTTTAGCCCTTCAGTCTTCTTTTCAAGGTTGTCCTCTTTGTCGGCGACAAATTTTAAGTGTCTCCCAAGTGTATACATGATGTTTTTTCAGTAAAATTTATAAATAAATCATTATGAATTAATTTTTTTAAGTACTTTTGCATTAATGCATGTTTTCCTTAAGCTAACTAAGCTTTTTCGGAGAGAGGAAAGTTTAAAAAATGTTAAAATAAAGATTGTAAAACTATTTACGAGTTTATTTTTATGAATAAAAATACAGTAAAATTGATAATTGGGTGCCCCCCCCTTTTTTTTTTTAGATTCTTTTTTATGTCAAGATCGGCACAATTTCAAGACTGCCGCTACACAAAACCAAAATAAGAAGCCAAAGAATTGCACAAACTCGTGTCGATGTACACATCGATCTATTTTTCATTAGTTAAGAATTATTAATTATTAGAAAAGTTAAGGCAGCATTGCATACTGCCTTAACTTTTCCAGGTACACATTGATTTATTTTCACTTTAAAAAAAATCAGGAAGCTAAAACACAGTTAAAACTATCATGGTAATCAGAAAGGGGGTTCCATTGCCAAAATTGAACAAAATGTGTCACCAATTGAAGGGGCACCCAATTCTACACTAGAATGAAAAAGGTATCTAGCATAAGGCTTATGACATTAGTTACATTAATTTTGAAGACTAGACTGTAGTATACATGATATGAATTTCACTTTGATGAATTTTAAATATTCATGAAAGGTCATCTGAAGAAAGTTCTGAAAGAAAATAAGAGTGGAAATATAGTTTTAATACATCAAAGCACCATCTACACCTCTTTCAAGGAATGACTCAGAAAAGATGTATAATTTAAATTTTATTTTGTTATGATAGTTGTAGAATATTAATATTATCATTATCCTACTTTTACTATACAAATTTAACTTTATAATCATACTTAATTGAAGTTTATTTAAACTACTGTATATTTCTGTGCCAAGAATTTTTGGAACTTTTCTAAGGCTAAATTACAGATCTTTCTAATCTTGCAAAAAATATAAGTACATTTCTGCTAGTTGGGCACAAGTGATAAATAGTCAAAGGGTTTATTTCTAAAGTTTATGAAAAAATTCATTTTAAATGAGTTATTTGTCTTATGGGAATAAATTTTACTTTCGAAATTGTTTATATTGCTAGGTGGGAGCCAAAACAAAAAATGAAAATAAGACTAGCACAAGATTGCACACGAGAAACAAAGAAGGGAGAAAGGGTCCTAGCTTTAGGTAGGGATACTAGAGTTATCATCATTGGCATTATGATGTTTTCTTTTACAGCAATTTCATTGGGAAATATTCAACCTATTTTAACACTTGCAACGTTTTTGCCCTCATGGTGACATGCTTGAATGTTATAGAAATTTTCTTTTCATTTTGGCTTTTACATAAATTTTGAATTAAGGTAAATTTTTTAAGAAAAAAGTGTGTTCTTGGCTTATATTTGAAAATACAGTTCGTAATCCAGACGTCCATTATCCGGGAGGATCGATAATCCGGACCTCAAAGCCACAAACTTTACACATGCGCACATTGAAAGAAATGTTTAATAAAGTAAACAAATAAAGGTACAACTCTGATATACGCCCTAATTTCACCAAATGTGGTGATGTGTGTTCTGTGCTGGTTTTTGGCACAATTGCGTGTTCTATGGCAACCCTGTTAATGTTGAACAATCTTTCGCTGGAGCTCGTTGATTCGCGTCTGTGTCTGAGAAGATAGGAGGGAAAGATAAAATGGTAGACGTTGTTGAATTGAAGTTCGGCAAAAGGAAATATCATTGTGGCCATCATGTTGAGGGGTAGTGGGTGTTTGGAGGTGTGGAAAGAGGGGAGATTATTTTTAATGGCTGTGCGTGATAGATGTAGGGATTTGTGATTTTATTTATTTGTGAACCATAGTATGAATTTTCTCGAGTGTGTCTGGCTGTCATGTAAATACGATAGTGATTACGTGGCGGCATGTTAAAGGCGGTATGAAATTGGTATTTCTGCTGCTTGAAAAAGCATTAATTTATGGTAAGTGCATTTTATTTTATTCTTGTTCTTATTTTGTAGAATTTTATGTTCATTGGTTATTTAGTATGAATTTCTGTCGTTATTGTTGTTTTTGAAACAGAACGTTGTGTACAGGGTATTATTTGAAATTTATTGTTATTATGTTATTTTATAAAAGCGAGGTGTGCGTAGATTCGTTCCTTGCCTAAATTGTGCAATTCGTAGATATTTTTTGAAGTTTAAACAGGATGCTGTGTACATGGTATTCTTTGAAATTTATTCTTATGTTAATTTATTAAAGCGAGGTGTGCGTAGTTCGTAGATTCGTTCTTTGCCTAAATTGTGCAATTCATAGATTTTTTTAAAGTTTAAACAGGATGCTGTGTACATGGATTCTTGTCAAATATTTTTGGTTAGAAACTTTACATTTTTGCTATCTAAATTTTTTGTTTTTGTTTCAGATTTTTAGCTTAAATCGTGTTGTTCAAAGCGTAGTTTTTACATGTGCGAACACCGCGTTTTTGGGACATAGTTCGAAATATAGAAAAAAAATTTAGATAGTAGTATGGCAGCGTGAAGTTTCTCGCCAAAAATGTTTGGCGAGAAATTTGGCGACTTGAGGGTGCATATCAGAGTAGTTCCCAAATAAATATTAAGCTTTTTTTTTGTAAAATTTGATACCTTTTAGATCATAATTGCTCTTTATTTCAGAAATTACAGTTTCATATTTTTAATTGTATAATTTCTGCATGCCATCTTACCAGGTTTAAATTGATGATCTATAATCGGGAAAAACCCCTAATCTGGAATCGCCAAAGTCCCGACGAGTCCGGATTACAGACTTTGTACTGCTTACAATATTATCTATGTTTCAAAGAGTTAAAATATTATAAGACATAATTAAACAAACTTGGATTATATAATATACAACATAGAAATGAAAATATTATCTTCACTTTACTTATTATCACTTGAGTAAAAACAATTTCTCTTGAAAACGTTTAGCAGATGCTGTTAATTTTTTTTTAATTTCAGTTTTGATTTAACCTTTCAGCGGGCGTACCTTCTACACCAACAAGAAAAGTCACACGTATTTCTTAGATACGCTATTATAAAAAATAAATTTTCCAGAGCAAAAATATTAAAATTTTTTTGTAAATAATGTTACAATTGAGTTAAACAATATTAAATTTAAATTAAGGAAAATGAAATAAGTATAAAACGCAAAAACAATATAAAAAGGACTAAAGACTTACCAAACTAATTTGAAAGTAAAACAAAAATAAACTGCCAATAATTCAATTGAACTTTTATATTTTTAATCAGTAAGTGGAAAAACACATTAAATATTACATAAATAAATTTTGTAATCACTTCATTGCATCGTTGCAGTGTGAAAAAATATGTTTACAATGTTCTAGACAAAAGAATTTTAAACAAATCTCACAGCTGAACCTCGTAATTCTAGTGCGCTTGTCATTTTGGCAGGGTTTGCATCTTTTTTTTTTCCCTGAAGTCATTTCTTCCAGCTCACTTTGGAGAGAGGTAGGGCTTCTTCTTTCAACGTTTTCCTTCACAAGAGCATTTTCTAGCTTTTGCAGATATTTTCTTCTAAGTAATTTTTCACTATTCGTTGAATGAATTATGTATATGTTGATTGCTGCTATATTTAGCATAGAGAAGAAAATTAAAAGAGGACATTGCCTCGTGTTCCTGGCAACATTGTAGGAAGCACAGAGTTTGTCTACTGTGTCCACACCTCTTTTGGTACGATTGTAAAATGTAATAATCTCAGGCTTTTTTTGGTGCTGGGTATCTTCATTTATTGCTACTTCATCATGAAGACTTGAAATCAATATGATGTTTCCATAACGTTTTGGTGCATTATAGAGAAGTCTCATATTTTTTCTAAATCTAAAAATACTTGTACAGTAAAATTCCAGAAATCCGCAAAGCTTGGGACCAGAGGTTGTGTGGATTTCAGGACAGAAAAGATAAAGCATAATATTCGGACAAAAAGAGCAAAATTAATAAGGCATATTAGATACATTTAATTAAATTATTATATATACATTATTGATATAATTTATTATATCATTAAATTATTATTACATGTACAGTCAAAAGTTGTTAAACCGGAATGATCTATAATCCGGACCTCAAAGCTACAAACTTTCTGCGCATGCGCCAACACATAGTGCGTTGACGCATGCGCGTAATACCTTTACGCATGTGCATATGCGTGTATGCATGCACATAATACATTAAAGCATGCGCGTTTAATGTATAACCGACGGTATAAGCTAAGCTAAAATTATCTAATTATCTTTTTCAGTTAATGTTGCAGATTGCGTTGTTCCTTAATCTTTGAATTGGAACCGGCTTATTATTTTTTGCAGACTGTTAGAGTATTTTATAAAAGTAGTTGGAACTTTCGATCATGTCAAATAGAATTTCCGATGCTGGATCTACAAAGGGAAAGCATGTTTCGATGTCCATGAAACAAAAAGTGGAATTGCTGCAAAAAAATGGATAAAGTGCTCCTTTGTTTCTCTAACCATTCCGAAATCTGTTTATCAATTTCACGCTGCTCTGCGCGGGGAAGGGGGGGACGTCGCGGCGTGCAATGAACTGGAAGTTGATCTGTTAGCACTATCCTTATCTTCAGGGCAGATGTTTTTATTTTATTCAGCTTATAATGTAGTATTTCATTTCGATGTACTCTGTCTTTGATATGATTTAAATCAAATTCCTCGTCATTACAAATATCACGAATACAAATCAAATAGTTTTCTGGTTGCAATTTTCTAATTTCAACTATGTGCGCGCGTTGAAAGAAATGTTTAATAAAGTAAACAAATAAATATTAAGCTTTTTTTTTTGTAAATTTTGATACCCTTTAGATAATAATTGCTCTTTATTTCATAAATTACGGTTTTATATTTTTAATTTCATAATTTCTGCACGCCATCTTACCAGATTTAAACTGATGATCTATAATCCGGAGTCGCCAAAGTCCTGACGAGTCCGGATTAAAGACTTTTGACTGTATAAATTGATTATAATATTCATTGTATTATATGTACACAGCATCAAGGTTTGCCGATTTCACCTCATGCAAAGATTTCCGGTGTTAGAATCACTGTTGCTGTAAATTTTCAACAGCTTTTCTTTATTTTTTGGTATATCATGCACAAT